GCACGGTTGCTCCACTAGCCCCCCGTCCGTCCGTCCGTCGACGCTCGCGAAACAGAGGGCCTCATCATATAACTTTAAGTGGGGCCTCATGTTGGCCAGGGACGGCCCTGGGAGCATTAGAAGCTTGGGTAGTAGGGATAGTGATGCGAGGCTTGACTAAAGAAAAAGGGAGGTCTAAAAATATGTCTGAATACTTTTGAGCGATCTGCTCTTTGTAATCCTCTTAAGAGCCTTCTATCATTTTTGTTCAAGGTTCTGTAGCGTTTCATGAAAGTGGGGAATTTTATCTTTTTCTGTTGGTGTGTTTAAGTGCTTGTTGGAAAATCAGAACAGGGGAAAAAATCTTTATTACAATGAAACTTATTATATACTTATATACCCATTTGGCAATCCTTCTTTCATGCTGGATCGTATAAGGACACCACAGGACTAACATGCTGAGTCATTCCGAGCTATAAAGATGAAGAAGCGCAGTTCATGTTCCATCCTATCCGGTGCACACAGTCACTCTTGTTCCTTATAATTAAATAATTACATTTCAACTAATTTCCGACTAGCACTGGTTTCCAATCCTCCTGATGACAGCTTATTCAGTTTAACTCTGATCTGTGATGCGTCTGTTTTCCAGATTATTCCACAGTGCACCTGAACCAGCTGCTGGTGAAAGCAGAGGTCATCGCCGGCCGGATGCTGCCTCTGTCTGTCTTCTACAGGAACCAGAACAAAGAGTACTTCGAACATGCCAAGTAAGCCGCTGTATTTGCATTTTCATAAATAATGTTGTAGTTCAAATATAGTTCAGAGTCTGTTATTAAAGAAACCCTGAAAACGGTGTTAACACATTGTATGTGCGGCTAGCTTTCCTTCCTCTTTTAGTTTGTTGCATTATGGTAATTTACACTATTATACAACACTTAGCCTTTCAACTTATTCTTGCTATTTTTATGCTATGTTTGACGATAGATACTGTATATCCTATTTTGATATGCTTCCAGTAACTTGAACATCTTGAACATCACATTAAATTCACAGCTTTAGCATCTGGTGGCTTTATAGACCTATAGAGACTTGAGATGTTATGTGATGCTAAAATGGCCTTTAAGCTAAGGCTGCAGGGCATTTCGTGTTAACATACTGTGTGATAAGACTTGTGTGATGGTAATAAAAGACGATTGATGATGAGAACATTATAATGCATCCATCCTAGCACTCAGTACTACAACTTAGATCACCTGTATCTCTGCACACAGCAGGATCCCCACACTATGTTAGGCTAATGTGTAAAGACAATGTGACAATTAAGGCCATTGAAAAGTATAGGTTTGTGGTTTCACTTTAACAAGTTGTAACTTTCTTTGTATATAATATGTGATACAAACTATAATTTGATGACTTTTTTTGTAACATTGTATTTTCATTTTCTTTTTAAGGCATACTATACGATTAGTTTTGTTATCATATACTATACATTTCAATGTTATGACATACTATACTATTACTATTTTAAAATACTATATGTCGATACTTGTTTTTGTCATGCCATTTACACAATGACATACTATCCTATGATATTCTTTGTGACATGCTGCACTGAGACCTGTGTATGACGTGTTTGCTGGGGCTTTACAACATGACGTCACCTGGAAAGCCCTCTCTTTTGTTGCCTCTGATCAGTGCATTTAACATGCGTCTGGTAAACTGCACCACCATGTGGGCGGCAGCAGTACTGTCGCTACCCCTTGATTAGGCTTCTGCTCCAGTGACCCGGGGTGGGAGATGACTAATTCCATAATACCCTGAACAAAGCATTAATTATGGATGTAATTGCAGCCTCTGAAGTGATAGCACTGTAATTACAATTCATAATAGGCGCACAGATTTACTCGAAGACATGCAGCTACAACACAAGCCCTCATCAATCTTGAATGTTTATTTGTTGTTTGTTTCTGAAAGATGCTTTTGTTTCCTGGCAGTTTTTGAGTTGAGCATGCTTTTCAAATTCATAGGTTTTATTGTCATATGCACATAAGCTACATTGTAGAAATGACAATGAAATTCTAATGATCCGAGCTCCTCCAACAATGCAACATATGTATTAAAATTAAAAAACACACCGAAGTCTAAGCAAACACTGAAATATAACGAAGAAAATGCAAAGTTGGAAAGGAGCTAGAGACACGGCAGCCATCTTTCTTTTGGTCACTTTGTTTCTATCAGACAAACTGGACTAAGATCATTACAGATCCAGAGATATTAAAACTACAGATCCTCCGGCTGCATCTGACACATTTAATCAGCTCAGATCAAAACAATGTGCTGCTCTTTACTAGGGATGTCCCGATCACCTTTTTTTGCTCCCGATCCGATTCCGATCATTTGATTTGACAAATTTACCGATACCGTATTTTTCCCGATCCGATCTTTATGCAATGCATTAAGAGAAAAAAAAGAAAAAAAAGCATTCAAGTTGTCCCTTAAGGTTATGTTTTTATTTAAATTGGATATTCTATCCAACATGTATATAGCTTCTTACTTTCACAGCAGCATTGGATCAGTTCAGTTGTGCAGCATTGGATCAAATCAAAATAGAGCTTATCAGTACTCGTTAGCTTACTGCTACAATTAGACACTGCGCCCTGCCCACTCTGTTGCCAGATTGGAGAGAAATAAGCAACCAGGTCTATGAAAACAAGCCCCAAAGAAGCAACACATACATGATGTTGTGTAATTTGAAACCAAAAAAGGCCTCAGGATGACTTTAAGACTTGAACATGGTCATTTTTGTTTTGTAACATTGAATACAAAATTTTAAAAAAAATGTTTAAAAAAAAAGAAGAAAAAAATCCCGATCCCCGATTTTTTCCTCCCGATTCCGATCTTTTGAAAATCACGTGATCGGCTCCGATCCCCGATCACGTGATCAGATCGGGACATCTCTAATTACAATTACAAAATAATGATATCTACAGCCCCTATTCACACAAACACACCATTTCATAAATAACACACTTGTTCTGCAATAATATGTTTTATGTTTCCTGTCATTTTTGTTAGGAAAGGGCATGCCTGAAAGAAACAGCATGTTCTCCTTCTCCGAGGGTCAAGAAGAACATCCAAGAGGAACATTAAAAACTGA